AAGGGTTAAAAATCAGCTCAATCTGTTAATCGTCTGTGTCTTTCAAGCTTTTTACATCTTATGATCATACCATCTCAATGTAAATAACAAGGAATATATTCGCAAATCCAAAAACTTGAAAATTACACTTTAATATGTAAAGATTATCCACTAAATAAATAAGAAATAATCTCATGTATCAGGATGCACACATCTAATAGACAATAAAAACTTTATGGATAAGCTTGGGTTTGCAAAAAAAATTATATTTAAAACTTATATTTATAAGCCAGTGAATTATTGGTTCTCATCTTAAAACATTTTCACTATATCCTACTGATGTTTCTAGTAAAATTTCAACTCAATTATATTATCAGAAGGGGTTTTGTGGTGATTTTAGTAATTTCAATAGTTGAAATCATGAGTCAGTTGAAGCTAGAACACCATGGAAAACCCGGAAGCACTAGACGGCCGTTTCATCCTAGTATGGCACTCGTGGGTGCGCATTGCTGAGGCGTCCCATACTAGGACGAAACAATCGTCCAGTGCTTCCAGGTTATCCATGGTGGTCTAGCTTCAATTGACTCATGATTTCAACTGTTCAACTTTGTTAGCTTGTCATTATTAAAGCACCTTCTATTCGATTAATAACCAATGAATATGTTTTTACATTATTCAAGATATCATAAATAATGTTAATACATTATCCATGTACAGTGTAGTTAAACTAATCAATGTTCATGAACTTAATCAATGACATACATAACACTAAAACTACTCATGAATATATCTTCAAGAAGTATGTATCTTTAGAATTAAAAAAAAATCATACATAGACATACAATAATGAGATTCATATATATTTAATGTATAATTCAACAAATAATAAAAAAAATAGTTAGTCATCTGGAACAATACAGATATGATCTATAAACTTAGTTAATCACTGAAGTATACAATTAGTAAATATTAACAATGGAATGAAAAGATAAGACAAATAAACCAATAAATTTATAGTTATTTAAAATAATTATCATGTTTTACCATTGTATTTTTCTTTACCTGAAACAATAAATGATAATAATGATAATCATAACTATTATCAAGAGGCAATTACATTGGATAATGTATTGTATTGTATTGGTTAAAAGCAAATTCACATATCATGCATGACAGAAACACAATTCAAAGAGTTATTGACTTTTAGAACAGATTTTTTGACTAGAAAACAAACAAAATAAGAAAAAAAAACTGGTCCATAATTTACATTTATTAGTGAAAGTATTAAATTTTGTGTTGTATGACATGAAGTACAATAATTGAATTATACTTTTTTGCATACATAGGGTATTATGAATCAATCAATAGTTAACTAGTTAGTTTCCAAATGTAATCCTTTTTATAAATGTGTTTCCATATATATATATGTAAATCATCATGATTATGATATTATGAAGAGATTACCAAATTATTACATAATATGGTATAACTTTATCAACAACAAAAAAGTATACACAAACTAAGATGATAAAAATCGTTTGTTTTTTTCATTCGGAATTCAAGATGCAACAATCTTCATTTTAAAATACTTTAGGTTGATGGCAGTATATTTAATTTATTTTCACTTCGATCATTTAAAGCATTCATGAAGTATAGTCAATGCTAGACTTTTTAATTGACTCAAAAGTTTATATGGTTTTATCAATCCAAAATGTTAACAAGATGATCTTATAAAACTTTGATTAACAGCAATCATGCAGTTGGTGAATGTAATAGAAAGGCACAGGGAATCATGTTAGTTTGTGGGGTTAGTTTTTAGCAACAAGGAAGGTAAACAGTCGTTTAAGACTTGAATCATCGTCTAAAGCTTCAGGGGTTATATTGAAGCATTTAACCTGTTTGTAAAAATCTATTATTTCCAGACTTTGTATACACTAAAAACTCTAAACATTTCATGAGTTTACTGAGAGTTCTTTGTGATTTCGAACAAATATTTTAGGTGACTTGGTTCACGACGTTATTGGACGGATCATATACTGCATATCACGCAATACAGATATCAGTAAATTAAAGATATTATTTTCAATGAAATTTTACCTACATTATTGTTTAAAAATTTATAGAATTGAACAACGATTTACTTAAGATCTTAGTGTTTGGTTACGTTATGAAAGCTGTCTTACTGTGTTCCTACATAAACTGAACTTCAATCATTATAGAAAGTGATTAAAATTATTTTTTTTCAGTGGCAAACTGAATATCTATTATGATCTACTTAGGTCCGAAATAATGATCATTGAGGAATATCTCTCATACTTGAACAGATCTAATGCAACTAGGTTAATCGAATGCTTAATACTTGGTGATGCTTCAACAACGACATAAATAGAAAACTCGGTTTTCAAGAAAGCTTGTATATCTCACATAAAAATAAACAGATCAGTGACCATCATAGTGTATGCATTAGTTAATACGAATGAACATCCAATAGAATACAGGTATGAAATAAATAACACGACTATGTCAAAAAGTCATAATGAATTAATGAATTGAAAGGTTATATTGAAAACTGCAGTTGTGGCAACACTAAACGATCATATTAATCCTACTAGTATTATAACAATTCATTTATTCATATTTCTCACACAGATATATCTGTCAAAAAATAGATCAATTATAAAAAAATTTAATGTACATATACGCAAGATGTTAGGGATATGAAACGAAATGAATTTTCCATATGTTACAATATTTGTTGTTCTTTCCCTCCAAGTAATAAAAAAAACATTTTATTGACAGAAAATCATGAGTTTACTGAAGTTTTTCATATATACTACTCATGCGTTATAACTTAAATCTTTTACTACATGTATAAATTATAATTTATGGGCGTATTTCAAAGTTCTTCCTGATTGCTTGATCACTGAGTATTCAATAATGTTATGTTTATCAAGCTCATCTGAGTGATGATCTTATTCTATCGATCTAGTTGTAATGTGGACACTAAATTTCCTGTCAACTTACTTCAACTACCTGACTCCTCAATATAGTGCACAGTGTTGTGTCACTTAGACTATCGGCCACACTGTAACTTGAATGACAGAATTCTATCTGCACTAAGAAGTATGTCACAGATAATATTAGTCAGTATATAGTGATCCATCTATTTTGACTATCTCAGTCACAGATAGCTTATCTGTAACGTAACATATTGATAGTTTGAAACGAAAGGTACTGTGAACATCAACACTGTGACTTATGTACATCCTTCTGATGAGTAATAAACAGAATGAAATATGGGCTCTGGAATTCACTTCTTGCTATAACCCATCTATACTAAATAGTTTTAAGGTCTATGTTCTGTCAGGAAGGAATGATTCAATAACTGTATGGAACTAGTCGTAATGGTTTGTAACGGTTTATCCTTATGATGTTGTAAGTTATAAGATGGTGGTTGAAGGTAGTCAACAGGAAACCCTAGACCCGGGTTTCGTGCTAATAGGCTCTCGTCAGCAAGGTATGCCTGTAATCTCAAGGGAACTGATGCTTCCCTACTGATTCAATCCCGTGTCACCCAGCTTTACAGTCAGACACTTTATCACTGGGGTATCCCGGCCACGACTAACCTCCTGTAGGATTGAGATATATTTATATTTGATAGATGTCCGTAACCATGAAGCCGAGTGACACGGGGTCGAAATCGTCATGAAGCATCAGTCCCCTCAATATTACAGGTATATTTTGTTGACGAGTGCCAGGGTTTCCTGTCAACTACCTTCAACCACCATCTTATCTCAACATAGTGAACGCAATGTCGAGTCACCTAGACTAGTGGTTATATTACATTCTGGTCGATACAATTCGATCTGCACTAAGAGGGACCTGACACACATGACATTGATCACCACCTAGTGATCAATCAATTGTAAAATTTCAAATTATGTTCGTACATAAGGTTAATCTCATATGGATGGCAATTTATTTTTGATGTTAAGTGAGTCTTCAACCACCATCGATTTTTTTCGAGCTTTTCTTCCTTTCATTTATCACAGTATTTATCATGTTAGAACATATTTCTTACTATCTCTGGTCTGAAAAACCTAAAGTCCTTGTTTTAACCCCCAGTAGAGTTGTAAATGTCCAGTGCTAAGGAAGCAACAGCTATCCAACACCTAGTTTTCAATGATTTTCAAGATGACGTCAGTTCACAATAGGAATAATTTTCGTTGTAGTCATATCATACAGCATAGCGATCTATTTTAATACTTCTTTAAGTTATTAAAATAATTAGTGAGCTTCATCTATAACTTCACATTGATCACAGTATGCGATCATTAATAAATAGACAATTTTCATATAATTCTCACCACTGTTATTAAGCTATTTTCTGGGCAAACGTCAGAACAAACAACAAACTGTTCAGATTAATTGAGAATTCGTGATTTATTATTATCTATTGCTTCTTATAAACGACGAACATTCGTAAATTACATTACGAACACAGAAACTAACAAACAAATCATTCAAAAATGTTATACAGAAAGACATTTTCTTAATCAATATCTTTGACAAAATTCATTGTTTTGTTTTATTTTTCATGTATTTATACTTCGCAATTACTTCCATTCTATAGATAACAGTAGAAATTCTTCTCTTTTTACGAATCATTATACCAACATTGTTAAAATCATTGAAATAGCAATGAAGTGAAATAACATATCTAGTCATATGATTTTACTTTAATTTTAAAGTGTTGGAATTGATCTAAATGGCCACACAGATACATATATACACTAAAATACACAATCATAACGATTATTTTTCATTAGGAAAAAGATTATTTCAAAGCAATTTGATTGGTTCATTCATTGTGCACACATACCACTTTTCCTAGTGTACATGTAATTGTTTGCATATATGAATATATGTGCATATTTGTATTTGTATGTTTGAAGTTCCCTTTTTAGAATCAATAATTTTGTGTATTTTTCTCCTATTTAATAAAAAACATATAAATGTAGGCGATTACGTCCAACAAGATACAAAAACATAGAAAAAAAGAAGAAGAGACTATTTATTCATGTAACGACCCAGTTGAATTATGTACAGATGACACATTATATTTCGCATTATAATGAATAGTAACAATGATAATCATCATAATAATAATGTAAATTGGATGTTTCGAAAGTTATATATTTCGAAGTACTTTTATTTTTAAACTTTCATTGAGGACAATCATTCAAAAACTATGAAATTGATCATTGATTATAATTTTTAATAGTTTCAATAATTTTTACTTCTTTTTTTTCCTCTTTGAAACATTGAACAATTTCGAATAGAATAATTTAATTATTATTACTATTGTTGACAATGATTATATAATTATTTAAAGGATAATAATTGGATATAATTTATAAGAAGACTTAAAATAAATATTAATTTTTACCCTGGTCTTAACAAAGTAGCAACATGACATATGTAGAGAAAAGATTAATTCTACGTAATGGACCACCGTGGGGATTTCGACTTTATGAAGATTTTATGGAAGGTTTAATTGTTGCTAAGGTAAGTAGAAATGTATTTATTTAACTTATATTTAATATTTGAAGTCCAATTCTATAAAAATCATGATCCAGATTTTAATTTTAAATCATCTTCAGAAATTTTATTTTTGAGAATTCTTGTTTTAATTAGTTCATTTTATAAATGACGTAGTAATGAAGTGATTTTAATTGGGATAAAATGAATGTACAGTTGTTAATGGTTGTCAATGATATCTTGAATTGTCTCAGTCCAGGATGTACCACGTACTTTAAATAGTTCGCAGTAAGTTAATTTCAGTAGGAGTACGAGCAATTCATATATTTAGAGATTATGTTTTTTTTCTCGAACTCAATGTAATGTAATATGGTATTAGTTTTATTCCCAGTAAAACAATTTAATATGAATTTTAATTTTGGTGCAACAGTGTAGTTAGTACGACAATGGCTACATATTTTCTAGTGTAACATAATTTCAGGTCAATATATTTTGTACCAGTTAAGTGCGATTTTCATTCAGTATGATAGGTATGAACCTTCTTGTAGTGCGATAAATATATTCGTTGTATTGTGAACTTTATGTGTTTCACAATAATGTTGTGTATCTTTTCACTTGTATGATGTTTATTAGGTGAGTAAAATTAGTACATAAAAGAGCTTTATTTGATCTTGATTGGACTAGTCTTCTTCTTCTTACTCCGTGTCGTTAGAATCATAGTAGTTCTCATTTCCAAGTATATGAAGCGGGACTAAGGTTATAATGAAATATTATAAGCTATGTTTGTAGATGTAGATTACCTGGTTAGGTTCTACTAGATAAAGAGGATTTGTGTTTGAGTTCGTTGGGTGACATGGTTCAGAATTAGTCATAATGACACCGATGCATCTACTCTTTAGATTACTTAAATTCTTGAATCTTAGTATTCTTTTCTATATACCTTTTAATTTTGTCTTTTCGAACTATATTCGCAATGCTTAGTCGTTCCCATTATTATTATTGCTACATAGTTTTGATACCTTTGGAATTCATTTTCATAATTTCACATTTCCGGGTATTAGCAATGACTAATATTGTGTATACAAAACACACAGTACATTATAATAACTAGCATGTTTTTAATCCATGTCCAGTTTGAACTTGTTTTTAAGTTTTACAGAAGCAATTATCTAAAGGACTTTCTCATCAAAAATGTTATGGAACATTCTAAATTTAAACAAACTGAAAATGTAATGTAAGTCATGAATGTAAACTGTCTATGAATTCTTTGCGGGAACGTCACAATAATCCAGTGCTCCATGTTCTTCAGAGGTTGTTTAAGTATTATGAATGAATAATGTAATCTGTGAAAATTTCATTTTGTTGTTTTATCCTAATTCAATCTGGAAATATTCACAAAAGTATGTTAAATAGTTTTATTTAATGGTGACTAACTGAAGTTTATTTTCAACCCACAATACCTATCAATACTACCATTCTAATATGAACTCCCTAGTTTCTTCCATCTCAGCATTTTCGAGATTGGTAAATTCTTACATAATCACCTATTATTTCTCCAAAACATTGATAAAATGGGTTATTGTGATAATACACAAACTATGACGCTATTTTCACATGGAGTCTGCGTTGTATTTATCATCATGATATGTTGCAAAGTCTATATATGTATCAGTACATTAATTTATGAGTACATTACAATTCGTTGATTATCAATAATAAAACTAGGAAAACATATTAACCCAATACTTGTGAAGTTAAAAACAACTTGGTTGACTCAGAGATTTAAACAGACTGTTTTGAAAAGCTGTTGTTACAAGTCAGTGTTAGTTAATTTATCAGGACTATAATTTATGAGTGAACTAATCAGATTCAACTTAGTAACTTTTAAATTTCGCACTTCAGCTCCTTACTCTTACTTCTATCTTCAACTACGTATCTTGCTTCCCCACACTAATTCATAACCCTATTCTGGCCCTAGTAAGTAGCTGAAGTATTTTAAGGTCACTCTGATATAGCTCAAAAAGCACTCATAAATTACGGTCTCACCACTAATTCAATACAAATCAGAGAATACTGAACATTTGCTTCTATTTACTTTCATACGTACATGTATTGTAATCAAAATGAAGATTTCCAAACAGACTTTCCCTAAGAATGGACATTAGTTTAGCTTCAGTCAACTTGGGAAATAAAAAAGTAATAAGATCTGCAACAATTATTTTCAGTATCTAGTGAAAATTGTGAATCAGTTAAAATAAGAACATTGATTAAATTCAGACGATTGAGTGCAATCATTAGGAATTCTAATATATAAATTTCATGTTAGTTAGCAATGATTAAAAAGACGTACCTAGAATCTTGAGGGAATCGAAGATCCCAGTGGCATTCAAACTCACTTCATTCAATTATACAATCAAAAATGTAACCACTGATAGAATAGGAGCGGTCCCTTTAGATTGAGTCTCAACTAAAATGGAACCTGTATTCAATGATTCCCACCCTTCGCTTCCAGCCACGTAATATAAAATGTGGTACGTTTTGAGTCATTGCTAAACAGTGATTAGATTTGGAGTTAATCGATATAATTTAATTAGCATAAGGTACTAGACAAACATGAGATATTATTTGATACATTGTTATCAATCAGTGTAATGCTGGCTAATATAGGTTAACTGAGAAGTAAACTTATATAAGAAGTTAAATGGTTGTTGTTTACCATCGTATTGGTTTTCAATATAGTTTAAGATAAGTCAGTATAATTTAAAACAATGAGAAATCGTATAGATTAGATACCAGACAGGAACTGAATATATCATGTTAAACCTATTCTATCTAAAATATCTCAGCTACATAGATTTATTTAAATATTTATATAACAGAGAAAACGGAGTATAAGTTTTGTTGACTGGTTAATCATTTAATTTGATAGAATTATTATGGAGGAAGGATTTCGCAATGTTCATTATAAATGTATACTAAACAACGAAATAATTAGTTAGTAGTATGGAACTTCACAACAGTGAAAATATAAAACTCCACCAAGAATCAAATCTAGATTTCAGGTACAGTTGTTGAGGATGGATAACTAGCATGAATCATAACTCTAGAGTCTCCTATCAAGTATCTTCGACTACCCGGTTCCAATTTTTTTATTTGCATTCTCCTTTAGCTTATCAATATGACGACCGTCATATAACTGTTTCAGAAAACATTATATATATATATATATATATATATATATATATATATATAATGTTTTCTGAAACAGTTATTTTGTGTTACGTAATAGTTAACTGGGTTGACTAGTTCAAAAATGTTTTTAAATCGTTTGTAATAATAAACATGCTGACTCTGATTATAATGTTAACGATAGTTACAGTATGTTATATACTGCTACTAAGAGGAAAACAAAGTCCATAAAATCTAATAGAAGTATCATCTTACTGTTTATTAATAACCTACTTATATCAATCATTACTAGTTAAGCGATTATTTCTTCATGATGTCAACTGTTGTGTTTGTTGTTTTTTTTCGTCTACCCTTCATTTGTATGATTCACCAAGCGATAAACACCCCATTCTTTGTACAAATCGTCTGATAACGTTTCTTCTACTTATTATCTATTTATTCCCTCTTATCATTATATCGATTGGGTTTTTTTTTTAGAAAAATAGAAAATATGTGACTGCACAAATCAGTTATGAACACTATCTACTAGAATCGATAAGAAAATCTGAAAACTATTGATTCATATTATATCGTTGAATGTTAGTGGACGGTTGTTATAATGATTGAAAATGAACCATTTTAAACTGTTTGTGTATTGATCATTGAATAAGATTCAATTTAAGTATAAAACTTTCGATTAAAATAAAGGTCAAATGTAGATGAGAATGAAATTCAATGGATTAACTTTGTCAATATTTATCAAATATAAAAAGTAATTTATAAATGAAATATTCACAGTTTATGATTGTGAAGATTGTTGAATTTCATTGAAATCATGAACCGATACGATGTTAGACCATCCATGAATAAAATTGTTTTTTTTGTCATTGGATGATCAAATTGAAGCAATAAACATTGGTTAAAGAAATCAGTGAATCAATAGGTAAAAATAGATTTATGTACAGTTAGTGTTATTTTATCTTATTAAAAGATGTTTATTCTTACGTAATTTGGTATAAGCATAGTTTTCTTTTGTTTTATTTGTCAGTTATTGAAATAACACAATAAAAATATATATATAGTATTAGTTCATAAATAGATCCCAGCAGTTACCATTCATTATTCTCGTCGGCATATAACACCAGGACCATCAAAGCATCCTTCAAAACAAAGGAGAAAGGAATTATGATGAATGTTATCCAATGTTATGTACCCACTAATGATAGCAACCATGACAATAAGGATCAGTTCTACACGAGGCTGCAATCCCTCATAGCGAAGTGCCCAATTATGGATCTGACCATCTTGATGGGAGATCTAAATGTCCGAATGGACAATACCCGGTGTGAATATATCATGGGACGACATGGAGTAGGAGAAAGGAACGAGAATGGCGAGAGATTTGTAAATTTATGTGCATTTAAAAAAATGGTTACAAGAGGTACAATATTCCCACACAAACACATACACAAAACTACACGGATCTCACTGGATCATACCAGAGAGGACCAGATAGATTATATTTGCATCAGTAAAATATTCACAACGTCAATGAAAGATGTGAGAAGCAGGAGAGGTGCTGACATAGCTTCAGATCACCACGTGGTTGTGGCCAAAATGAAACTGAAACTAAAAAAACATTGGAAAACTAGATAAACAACAGTACAAACGTTCAATACAACCTTCCTTCGAGATACTGACAAACTCAACCAATTCAAGATAACTCCCAACAATGGGTTCCAAGCCTTACAAGATCTGGAGGACAATTGCAAAGGGATCAATGAGGCACTAACTTCAAAGTGTCAGGAGAATCTGAGCTGCAAAAAGTATCATCATAAGCAATGGATCTCTATAGAACTCCTGGACAAGATTCAAGAAAGGATAACAAAAAGACAGCAATTTACAACAGTCGAAGAAGAATAGAGGCACAAGCTGAATACATAGAAGCAAACAAGCAAGTGAAGAAGAGCATTAAAGCCAATGAGTGGAAATATGTGGAAGACCTAACAATGACCTAACAATAATAATGAATTGTAGCCAGCTAAATTAAAATAGGATCATACTCACTATCAAATCCTACGATCTCATTTTGATTTTGTGTAGTTTGTGGTCGCTCAATCAGATGTAAGTTTGCTTTTTATCCTTATATTTCAATATTCCAACTAGAAACATTATCTGTTAATTGTATTCGTCATTAAATAATCTTCGTTGGCGTTCCACTGGAACATACCAAACAGTGAACAGCTATTTAGTGCAAGTGAAGGACATCTCAACATTCCGCACCCATTACACTCCAGGTCTTGAACCAGGAAACTTTATGTCTCGTGAAAAATTGTTAACCACTTTGAATCGCTGAGTCGGTGCCCGGCAATACAGCTCAAAATTCACTCCTTATCTTTCAAATTTAACAATATGTATAAATAAAATTATATATATATATATATATATATATATATATATATATATATATATATATATCACTAACCTAATTCAATTATTGTTCAAAATTACACTTGCACAAACAAGATGTCATTTATCTGTAACTTATAACAAATGTTTATACTGTGGTGTCGGTTGTTATGCTAAGCCCACATAGCTTATTCTAGCTTTCGAACAGGCTAATTTATTCATCCTTCTTGAGTCACATTTTGTCCTTGTCAGTACATCCCCTATCAACCTTGACTGTATGTTAGTCAGTCAGTAACAACGTAGAACCTCGTACGTGCATACATCAGTTCGAGTTGCCATACCATATTAGCACAGAGATACAATTGTCGATTCAAATACCATAGTGGTAGAGGTACTGAAAGTATAAGCAGTAATCGGGGAGATTAGGGTTTAAAGATGTTATTCAAGGAGTATAATCCAGTGAAATAAATTTGGAAAGAAAAAAAAGAAAGAAACATAAAGGATTCAAAAGATTAGAATTTGAGAGAACACAAAGAGTGGATGAACCTGAGCCATTGCAAACGATTTTGAGCCATGTCATCCAACGTCTCTAACCATCGTTTGCTATCGTCTCGAGGATCCCAACCAGGTAGTCTACACCTACTAACATAGTTCAGTCCACTTGTCAGTGACTTCATGGATTTGTTCCATGTTTCGGTCTGGCTGCCCCTAGCTTTCATCCAACCTACTCCTACACCATAAAACTGTTTGTATATGAGCGCATGCGTGTACATGGCTTATCTCACTCATCACATGTCTGTAGCTTATTTTTGTTCGACTATAAATATCGATTAACGCTTGATGAGGTCGATTTGGCTTACACGCCTTCTCCATTGCGTGTCATTTTGTTTTGTTTCGCTTTCCAATCAACAATTATACAAAATATACGTATTCAAACCTCATTCTCGTATTTAACTTATTTAATTCCGTTCTTCACTAACGCGAGTTAAGTCGATGATTATATACGAGGATTAGCGGTATGTATATTTCGACAACGATCATTCATACAATCGAACTGAAGTGAAGTCAAAATGTAGCTTGAAGAAAATGGATAAATGTATTTGTCCAAAAATTATAATAAGCTCTATGGGCTTAACATAGCAACCGATACTACAATACATTTGTCTATGTACACCTGTTCATAAAAATCATAGTAATATACGATATATGCATATTACACTTTCAATATGAAATCATATGACTTAATGTAAATCACTAATTGATTCATTTGTTTCAAAATATTTGAAATAAGTTTTCTCATCATTTTTCATCTCTCTCTTTTCTTAAGTTACGACTTAAAATTTCCATTGAAGACTGGATTTAGCGAGTTAATAATTAAAACTATCAGGCTTTTGATAAGTGCTTTGTTGTAGTACGCAAATCACAAACATTTAGGTTTATTTAACATAGATCTCATTACCTTCAAACTAATAAGTTTTTCCAGTAGTTGAGATCATGAGTCAATTGAAGCTATACCACTATGGAAAACCTGAAAGCACTGGACGGTCGTTTTGTCCTATTGTGAGACTCTTCAACAGTGCGCGGCCCAATGGTCTAGTGGTTAAGAGCTCGAGCGTGAGACTGATAGGTCCTGGGTTCGAATGCCGCGAAACTAAGACCTACCGGTCTCGCGCGCGAACACTTAACCTGTACACTACTGAGCCGGTATCAAACGGTGTTAATGTCTAACTTCAACCAATCCCCTTCTGATAATAATCTAATTGTTTCGTTCAACTCCGATAGATAAATGAAATAAATAGTTTTCATGTGATAAATGACGTAATATAATTAATGTATTATTTTAGTAGATCTGTTTGGGATAATTGCTTGATGCTATATAGGGTGGCGACTGGTAGATTAGTTATTAAGAAGAAAAATATCTATAGACAATTTTCATCAATAAGTGATATTATGGGATTTTATGAGTATATTCAAGATATATTAACTTGTACGAGATAACTCTATGAATGTGAGTGATTTCATGATTACTGGTTACTAGGCTTTGGAATTTTCGGTAGCAAATCATAACTTGTAAAATCAGTAAAATATAAAGTCGGGCATCAAATTATCATTTACATTAGTTGAAGATTGGAATATGTTACAAAAACAGACTGGTAGTTAAAATTTATCGTGCTAGAGTGATGTGTGCTACTTATGTAGAAATAAGTAGTATATGACGCGAGTCGTGAACAGAATGTCTGGCAGCAGAGAGACAAGAAGATCGAACAATAAAGAATGAAGATAGAATGCAATTTGTATGAAAGTGCAAGAACAAAGGAATTCTGAGTCATTGGAGACAATTGGTGGATATTTTGCAAATTGAGCATTTACAATATGGTTGTTAGATTTTAATAAGTAGATCTGTAATTTTTTAACAAGTATGTTCGATTGTCACCATTTGTGATTTGTTCACTACACTAATTCTGAAGGTCTAAGGGTGGACCACAAATAAGGCAGTTTATGTGTGGACTTTTGTGGCTTAATAAACGTAAACAATACGGGCATCTAGTGCTCCATTAAACTATACACATTTTTACAAGAAGCTCAGTGATAAGAGGAGAATCGTCGATTTTGTGTTATTTTATATAGTAGTTAATAATGACTAAGTGTATATGTACTACTGGTCATATCCTGAGTTATGCGACCTATTTTGAGGTTTGAAATTGTTTGAGTTATTAGAAAGGAGACCTTGGATCCAGGTTTCATGCTAATCGTAACTCACCAACAAGGTACATCTAGAATCTTGAGGAAATTGAAGCGCTTCAAGTGGTTCGAACTCCCATCACTCTTGCTCGTAGTCTGAGGTGTTACCATTGAGTACTTAAGGACTAGACAAACGTGACATTGTTTACTGTTCTGTCATCAAGCATTATAAATATTTCAATCCTGAAAGAGATAAGTTGTCCCCGAATAGATCAGAGGAAACATCTCAGACTGAACTAATTTGACATGATTTCTATAGATTTCAGGTACGTCTCGTTGTCGTCTGGCAACTAGCATAAAACTCGGGTTCAGGATTCCTTGTCGACTGCCTCCAACAATCTAACATGAAACTATGATGGATTCCTTATTTAGTCAATTGTAATAGTGGCAACACTGCAGATTGATCGATAGAATTCAATTAACCACAACGTCCTTACTCGTTTAAGTAACAGGGGGTGGCTTGGTCTATATTTTCATATTTGACTGTCAGAAGCAGGTATTCGAAAACTTTGAACATAAGCTATCAAGGCTTATAAGTGCTCTTGTGGGAATTGATGAGCATACTAGGATTCGTACTTAAGTCACGCAGATCTAAAATTTTTTAATTTCATTCGTGTTAACAATATACATTAATGAATTACCCATTGAAAACAATTGGAAATCAATTAGTGTAACATAGAATTATATTCTACTTAATGTTTTCTTATTAATGTCAATAATGAATTATTGATTTTTAAGCAACTATTGATTATTGATTAAATAAATACTACACAATTGTGAATATTTAATTAA